AATCCTCCACCCAGTTATCTTTTTGGTGGCTATTAACTCTTGTTTGTCATTTTTAACTACAGTAATGCCACCCTTTTTTGGAACGCATTGCACAGGAGCAACCCATTTACTATCTGAGATGGGATAGATTATACCTGCATCAAGCCATTTGATGATTTCTTTTCTTACCACCTCCTTCATATTGGGATTCAGCCTCCTTTGATGCTCCACAGATGAGCTGTCAGGGTCTTGGAGCAAAATCTTGTGCATGCAAATTGTTGGGCTAATTCCTTTTATGTCAGCCATGGTCCAGCCGATTGCTCCTTTGTAATCTTTGAGCTTTTGTGTGCGTTGAAGTTCCTGTTCATGGGTAAGCAAAGAAGAAATAATCACAGGGAGAGTGTTGTCTTTACCCAAATAAGTGTATTTCAGGTGTTCAGGTAAGGGTTTTAACTCCAAGGTAGGTGGTTGCTCTACTGAAGGCAATTTCGGTCTTTGCTCCTGCTCTGATCGGTTTAAGGATTCAAAGACCCTTTCTTTCCTTCCCTGGGGTTGGTGGAAACTGATGGATGCAAGGTATTCTTCCAGCTCTTCAAAGTCCTTCATGCCTATCTCTGGCTGCAAATGCTCCTGTTGTTCTTCTCTTATGACCGAGTCAAGGATCGAAATGCTAGAGCATTCCTCAGTGTTATCTTCATCAAACTTTATTGCTTTCATGACATTAAACTTCACTTCTTCTCCGTTTACACTCATAGAAAGTTCACCCTTTCTGACATTTATGATAGCATCACCGGTAGCCAGGAATGGTCTGCCCAGAATTATTGGAACTTCTTGATCTGCTTCAAAATCTAAGATGATGAAGTCAGCTGGTAGAATGAACTTGTCTACTTGGATAAGGACATTCTCAATTTTTCCTTCTGGCTTGGCTATAGATCGGTCTGCAAGTTGAAGAGTGACTGTGGTTGGTCTTGCTGCTCCTATGTCAAGCTGCTTGAAGATGGAAGCTGGCATTAGATTTACACTAGAACCCAGATCACAAAGTGCCCGGCCAATATAGTTCTTCCCAACTGTACACAGGATGGTGAATATACCAGGATCCTTTAGTTTGGGAGGAATTTTAGTCAGGTACTTGCACGATTGTTGAGAGAGGGCGACGGTCTCAAACTCTTCGATCATTCTTCTTTTTGACAAAATGTCCTTCATAAATTTTGCATACGAAGGCATTTGCTCCAGAGCTTCTACTAGAGGAATGTTTATGTGAAGTTGTTTCATCAAGTCGAGAAACTGGCTAAACTTCTTATCCTCATGTTGCTTTTTCAACCTCTGTGGAAAAAGAGGCTCAATCGGTTCACTCCTTCTCTTGCATGGGGGAACATAAGTTGGAACTGAAACTGGTTCACTAACTTTTGTTGCTCCAAGGTCTGCTACAGGTGTTGCGTCATCCGGTTTGATTTCAGCAGACTCATTGCTTTGGACCTTCTCTTCTGGTCCTATCTGAGCTTCAAGGTGTGAAGGGTCAGTGGCTTCTTCAACTTCCTTTCCTATGGGTTGTTTTGCTGGTTCGCGCTTTCGAGGTCGTGCCACTAAATCTGGGGGTGGTAAAGTCTTTCCATCTCGTAGGCTTATAGCATTACAATGCTCCTGGTTATCCTGAGACGGCTTTTCTGTGTCACTAGGGAGTGTCCCTGGATGCCTCTGTTTGAGTGCTCCAGCCAGCTGACCAATTTGGGTTTCTAGGTTTCGCATGGCTGCGATGTTCTGATTCATGTACTCCTTGACAAAAGTCTCAAAGGATTGGGACTTCCCTTCACCCTTATCCCAGTTTTGTTGGTTCTGCCTGGGATACGGGGGTCGGTTCTGGTAGTTTCCTCCACTACTTCCAGCATTATTCTGATTCCTCCAGCCTCGGTTATTGTTCCCTTGATAGTTGTCATTGCTCCTGTTGTTGTTGTCATACCCTCCTGCATAGCATACAACAGCTAGATTGTTACAGTCCTCATATTCATGAGGACCTCCACAAGTGGGGCAACTCTGACTTGATTGAGTCAAGAGAAGTTGCTCAGTTGGTTTTTTCTGTTCCATGGGCTTCCAGTTTTTTATAGTATTCTGGAGCGAAACCATTTGTACTGAAAGAGCATCAGCTGAGCTTAGCTCAAGAACTCCTGCTTTCTTAGGAGCACTGTGTCGTGTGGAAGGCCATGAAATATGTTTTTTTGAAAGTTTTTCCAACAACTGGTAGGTTTCTGGATAAGTAAAATCCAAAAGATCTCCCCCTGCAGCTGCATCAACAGTTGCTTTCGATGGTGGGGTTAAGCCATGATAAAACGTGTGAATGATGCCCCAATCAGAAACTCCATGATTCGGGCAAATTCGTATCAACTCTTTAAAGCGTTCCCACGCTTCATACAGACTTTCTCCATCATACATTTGAAAGGAAGCTATATCAGCCCTCACTTGGGCTTGTTTTGCTTGGGAGAAAAATCGGGTAACAAATTGTTCCGCCGATTGCTCCCAATTGGTGATGGAGTTTGGGGGCAATGTTCTCCTCCATTCTTTGGCTTTTCCAGCTAAGGAAATTGGAAAAAGTCGCATCCGCATGTTTTCTTCCGAAATACCGTGAACTTTGAAATTATCAACTATCTCAGTGAAATTGTCCAAATAACTGTGAGGGTCTTCCATGGGCAGTCCATGGAGCTGACCAGCGTTCATAATCATTTGGAACATTGCAGGTTTTATTTCAAAGATCGGGATATTCAAGGGAGGGGGAACATACCCTCGTTCTGGACCATTTCTGAAGAGAGCAGCCATATCATTCAATGATGGCCCTATTCCTTCATTCGGTCCTTGTTCAGGCTCATGATTATGATTTCCATTGTTATCATTGTTTACAACCTCCTCCATTGTAATGTTTCTCAACCTTTGAATTCTTCTTCTATTTGTGAAGGTTCTCTCGGGTTCTGGATCAAAAAGTACTATTTCCTGTCCAAGTTCTGTAGGTTCTGTGCTCATACAAATGGAGGAGGTCTATCAAAACAAAAAGACTGCAATTAAACAACAAAAATGTTTCCTTAAAAATGCCCTTTCTTGCCAAATGATCCCCGGCAACGGCGCCAATTGCTTGGTCGAACCGAGAGCTGCTCGGGAATATCTTTTCAAAGAGCAAGAGTGCAGAGTAATAATCAGGATTGCCAACAGGAGCAATCTACTCTGACTAAGAGCAACCCTCTTCAACTATACGCAAGCATACGTGTCAAGCAATATAGGGTATTGTAGCCCCAAATTTATCGTCCTCAGGGAGCAGTTGTGAAGTAAGAAGCGCTAAAGGAAACTTAATTTGTAAAATGGAGCAATAAAAGAAAGTACTATTCTCAGCTAAGCTTCACAAAGAGCAATCTCTGGGCAGCTAGTTAAACAATGTTAATCATTCTGAACCAGACGAGAGCAGTGAATGACTTAGCACGGTCATCGAATAAAAAGGCATCAATTTAAGTAACTTCAAGAGCAGTCAACGAAATGAAAGTAAGAGCATCAGCTGGTAAAACATAGTTCAGTTATCGTGAGGAAAAGGTTGTGATAGAAGTTTGAGTTAAGATTAATTTCAGAAAAAGTCAAGTAGGTGTTACGGGTTCCATGTTTTCATCCCTTTGGTTAACCCTGCTTGGTAGCATATTTTACAAGTGGATTTTGCTCCATCCCTTGTTTTGCTATAGGTAAGCAGAGGGTAAGGCCTTACTCTCCACGTTACTCCATTGTACTTGGAGTTATATGCAAGGAAACCATGCTGCCTTCTCAAAAGAGCATAGATTCACATGGCAGTGCTCCCCATTCCAGGTGTTTCTCCCTCCTTTCTTCAGGCTAAACTACCCCAGGATCTTGAGAATGCTCCACACGCCTGCCAGTGTTTCATCAACCGAGTGGTCCCGGGATGAGGTTGCCAGCCCAAAGGGTTTCACAAAATCAATAAATTAAACCAAAGAGCAACTCAAAATTCATTTATAAAATATGTGTTCCTTACAAAGTTATCCTAAGACAAAAGGGATTACTTCTACGGAACCCTCACCTACTTAGAGGAAGTTAGCTCCTAGTGAGCATTTTTACAAAAAGAAAACAAAGAGATAACGAGTCCTAGGATGGGCGCTGATGATCTTTATGAGGAATGCTTGTTCCTTTTATAGGGTTCTTCATTTGATCTTCATTGTTCCTTTCATCAAGGGTCTTGCTCTGTTTAAATCCTCTCCAATGGTAGCTTTGCTTCTTGCCAGCTCAGCTCCGAATAGAAATCCTCTCCAATGGTAGCCTTGCTTTTTTCCAGCTTGGCCTTAAATAGAAGTGGTCCCCTTTGCTTTTGGCTCCCTTTGTGAGTGGGAGTATCGGATTCAGGGAGGCACATCCACTCCTTCTGCTGCAGCTGACGTGGCGGCTTTTGATTGCTCAGCTTCTTTGCTTTCGTACTGTAGCAGAGGTAGCACCTCCACCTTCTCTGTTGTGGCTGACGTGGCGGCTTCCCATTGCTTCCTTTGACTGCTGTTGTACTACAGCAGGCTTTTTTTCTTCCTGCGCAACACTCATTCTTCTCTCTTCATTTTGTGGTTCCTTCTGATGGGCCTTAGGTGTCCTGAACAAAGCAAACTAACCCAATAGTCATATGTGAAAAATATAATGTTAAATTTGCTCCAGGTCTACTTTAATTCCCACTTTCGGTATTGCTCTGGTCCACTATTCAAAGCAGATGCTCTATATGGAAAGAAGAAGGTTAACGGGAGTGATTTATAACCAAACATGGGTTTTGTGGAACAATTTACACTTAATGGGCCTCAACTTTTGAGGACCATCACCTGCCAATCTTTCCAACATCTGGTCCAAGAAAGGAAGTGAAAAATGGTCCTTCCTTGTTGCCTTGTTCAGCCTCCGGTAGTCAATGCACATTCTCCAGCCAGTGATTTTCCTTGTGGGAATCTGTTCATTATTCTCATTTTTCACCACAGTCATCCCCCCTTTCTTGGGTATTGTTTGAACAGGACTCACCCAAGCACTGTCTGAGATAGGATAAATCATTCCAGCATCAAGTAGCTTCACAACCTCCTTCCTCACTACCTTTTTCATAGTGGGGTTGAGTCTCCTCTGTGGTTGCCTCACTGGTTTGATTTCCTCTTCCATCAATATTTTGTGGGTGCAAAAGGAACGATTGATACCCTTAAGATCTGAAAACTGTCATCCAATAGCCATTTTATTCTTCTTGAGTACCTTAATCAACTTCACTTCTTCACTCTCAGATAACATTGCATTGATGATTACTGGATATGTTTGATCATCCCCAAGGAACACATACTTCATATTTGAAGGTAGTTCTTTAAGCTCTACCTTAGGTGCTCCCACAGGAATGTCATCTATCTTTTTATCAAGCTCTTCCACTACCGGTTCCTCTTGATAATTTTCTGTACTTGTTTCCTCAAGAAATCTATCTTCCTCCAATGAAAAGTCTTCTTCTCTATTCACTTCTTCAACCATCTCATGTATGACATCAATACTGAAACAATCCTCCACATCAACAGGATGTTTGATGGCTTCAAAGACATCAATTGTAACTGTTTCTTCATCTACCCTTAGCATCAACTTCCCTTGTTCAACATCTATCAGGGATCTTGCAGTTGCTAAGAATGGTCTTCCTAGGAGTAAAGGACCTTCAGTATCCTCTTCCTCCATATCAAGTATCACAAAATCCACAGGAAAAATAAACTTGTCCACCTTAACTAACACATCTTCTACTAATCCCTCTGGTCTTTTGATAGATCTATCTGCTAGATGCAGAATAACATTGGTATCCTTCAACTTATCTATCCTCAATGCCCTACAGACAGACAATGGCATCAAATTTATACTTTCCCCCAAATCACATAGTGTTTTACCAACTTCCACATTCCCAATTGCAATAGAAATGCTAAAGCTCCCTAGATCCTTCAACTTTGGAGGTAATTTCTTCTGAATCAGAGCACTACACTCATCCGTCAAAGCCAGCGTCTCACCATCCTTTAACTTCCTCTTCTTAGATAGAAGATCCTTCATAAATTTTGCATAGTGAGGCATGTTCTCCAGGACTTCAGCAAATGGTATGTTTATCTGCAATTTCTTGAAGATATCCAGAAATCTTGCATAGTGCTGTTTCTGAATCTCTTGCTTCAATCTCTGAGGGTAAGGAACTTTGGCATATGGAGACAAAGTAACTGGCTGGTCCTGCTTGTCAGCCATCTTATTCTTCTCCCACTTCATTGTCTTCTTGGGCACAACATCATTTTCAACTACCACCTCTTTTTCTTCCTTATTTTCCTTCACTGTTTCTTTTTCTTTATTTCCCTTCACCTTTCCTACTCCATCATCAGAGACTACATCTTCAACCACAACCTCCTCTTCATTCTTCTTATCTTCCATGTTCTTTTTCACCTGTTGAAGCACCTACCCACTTCTTGTCATGATTGCTTTGCAGTGCTCCTTAGGATTCATCATTGTATCACCAGGAAACTTCCCTTGTGGTCTCTCAGATATCTGTCTTGATAGTTGACCAATTTGGGTCTCCAAATTCCTTATAAATGCTTCCTGATTTCTAAATGAAGTCTTGGTCTCTTGCATGAATGCAGATGTTTTCTCTCTGAATGAATTAGACCCCTGAATGTAATCTTGAGTAGTCTTGGATAACTGAGCAAAGGCTTTTTCCCATGCAGCAGTATCACTTGGTTGTGATGAGTGTGTTGGAGGAGGATGCAGTGGAGGATTCAACTGATGGTTGGAACTATAACTAAACCCTGGGTGCTGATTCTTGTTCTTCCATGGTGGCATATACACATTTTACCCCTGGTTGTTGTAATTCCTCTGGTTGTTGTTGTCATACCACACTCCATTAACTTCTGCATGTTCTGGTGATCCCCCATAGTCACATTCCTCTGTCACATGGCCCTTCCCACAGAGAGCACACACGCACTTGGTGTCCACAGAAGCAACCTTTTGTGAGGATAGTTGCTTAGTGAGAACATTTGACTGCTGTTGTTGTTGTCTCTGTGTCTGCATCAACTGGTCATTCCTTGCCAATAGGGCATCATACCCATCCAACTTGATGATCCCTGCCCTTCTGTCAGGCAATGGGGCATTATCAAATTCCTGAGATGCCAATGATTCAAAGATATCCAAAGCTTCTTGAGGAGTCTTGGTGGTCAATGATCCACCAGCAGTGGCATGCACCAATGTCTTAGTGTTGGTGGTCATTCCTTGTAGGAAGATTGCTGCTTGTTGTCATGCCTCTATTCCATGCTGTGAACATTTCCTCAATAAAGTCTTGAATCTCTCCCAGGCCTCATAGATGGATTCTGACTCTTTTTGCTTGAAGCCTGTAATCTCATCCTTCAACTTAGCCCTCTTGGATGCTGAGAAAAATCTCTGCAAGAACTTAGTTTGCAAATCATTCCAAGTTGTTATACTCCCCTGAGGCAATGATTGCAACCATCTCCTTGCATCATCCGTCAGTGAATGAGTGAATAGTCTCAACAGAATTGCATCCCTTGTGACACCATTAATTTTCACAGTATCACTCGACAACAGAAAATTTTCTATATGCAAGTATGGGTCCTCTACACTGGTTCCAGCAAACTAATCTTTCTGTACCAAATGTATCAATGCAGGCTTCAATTCGAAGTTGTTTGGTTCCACTGTAGGGCGCACAACACTCCCAATGGGAGGGATCACTGTAGGAGTCATGTACTCTCCTAGTGTCCTCTGTTCTGGTGGTGGTGGTGGTCTGTGGTTCTCTGCCATAACTTCTTCTTGGTTGACAGCACTGGTTTCACCCCTTTCTTGAAACTGTCTTCTTTGTCTGACTGACCTTTTGTTCTTCCTCACTGTCCTTTCTAATTCTAGATCATACAACAAAAAATTTGGATCAACCGTACCTCGCATACACCAGAATTAAAATTGACCAAAAACTTAACTAAAAGTAAAATGCTGAAAATAAAAGATTCAATCTCAGATTTCTATGGTATCAATCAATTTGAAAAACAAATCCCCGGCAACGGCGCTAAAAACTTGTTGCGGATCTAGCAAGTGTACTAGTCGTACAAGTAATAAAATGATGAGTAAAGATCGTTCCCACAGGGATTTGTATTCAAACACCAATGAACCATAGAAAACTAATTTGAATTAAACAAAGGTTTGTAAAAATCATGAATGTTTTGTCACCAGAAAGTTATTTTGAAAGTAAATTAATCTAATACTAAAAATTTGAATTAAGATTTATAAAAACAAGTAGTCAGAAAACAATTTTCCTCAACAATAAACTCATGTAAACTGATCATATGATGAACTCTTTTTCCTGTGATGTTAATCAACCTTTTACTTATCCTCAAGATGTAATCCCTTACTACCCTGATAGATACATTAATCAGAAACCCCAATCCCTTGGTGATTCCTTTCTTAATACATGCATGAAATACTAAGGTCTTAAGATTACATCAGAACTATAGTATCAATTCCTTGAGTACTATAATCCTGATGATGAGATTGTCAGATATAGGAGTAGTGTAAACATTACTGTTCTACACTCCTCCCTTAGTAGAAAGAATTGAATCAAAAAATCTCATATCAACACATGAAAAACACTTCATCATATTAATCAAACATACATAAGAATATCATTGAGTTCCATTGAATTCAGACTACAATGACTCTACTCAGACATAACTAAGGAAGATAAAAGAGAAGAAAGATCAAACTCCATTTCCATGTAGTGAATCTTCAATCTCCAAGTGCAATTACAATAGAAAACTAACTAATACAAAGACTAAGTCCTAAGAATTTTAGAGAGAAGTCAGATCAGAGAATCTGATGTAGGAGAGAGAGAGAGAAACTCCAGATTTTGTAAAATGTGAAGGCCTTTGCCTTATATAGTTTCACAATTTAAAACAGAAATTTAATATGGGCGCTAAAACGTTCAGAATGAGCGTTTTAGCGTCTATGCTTGACGGATGCCCAACTGCTTTCAACTAACTTGAACGCTAAAACGTTCATGAATGGCCGTTTCAGCGTCCATGCCTTGTGAATGCTCAACTGTCCTCAACTGACTCCACCGCTAAAACACTTGGTTTGGACGTTTTAGCTTTGGAGACCAGAGGCTTTTTCCAACATCAGGGCGCTAAAACGCTTGTTGCAGGAAGTTTTAGCGCCCAAGACCAGCAACTTTTCATCCTCGGAATGCAGCAGCGCGCTAAAACGTTCTGTGTGGACGTTTTAGCGCTCAACACTTAGGCATTTTTCTCCTCTTCAGAATCTTCTTCCTTCTCCAGTTGCGTTTTTAGCTTGCTTTTGCTACAAGAACAATACAAATTCTCAATAAAGCTTCTTGAACTTGTAGTTGAGGACATTCTAGGACATTAACCTCTTTTTCCATCATTTAATCACACAAATTGATACTAATTCATGCTGAAAAACTTGATGAACTAAGGGTTGATCAATGTTATTTTATATTATTTATATGCATCGAAGTGAGCCATTGGGCGGAGGATTCTCCAGAACCTCTAGGTTACTGAGATATATTCGTATATCCCATCCCATCTTGGGGGCTTTATTTCAGGAGGTAGCAATGGTGCAGGAGCGGCGGGCAAGAAACCCGTAGGATAAGTCGTTGGAGGACTTTATACATTTTGTATTTTGATGGCCATTGGGCCTAAGTTAGACTTAAGGCATGAACATTGTATATGTGGATAGGATGAGATTTATGGTCATATTTGTTCATGCTATTTTTGCCTAAGTCTAGATACATGTAGTTTATGATATTTGGAGATTTAAAAATTATGTTGTAATTTGGATAATTGTAAGTATTCTATTTGGATCTTGTGTAATGTGGAGCACATGTAATATGATGAAAGGGCCATAGGCCCATTTTAGGATTATGATTATGCGTATGATTAACAAATGCATGCAATTAGACTTTGATGATTGAAATGTATTAAGTATTAACAAAGGAAGTAAAGTGATACGTATTGTATAAGTAAAATAAATTGTGATGGGTTGTAAATGCCCCAAGGCATTGTTGGTCCTTGTGTGTGCCACCCAATGATTATTAGGTACATTTGAGGTCCTAGATCACATTAGCAAATTTGGGGATTCTTGGAAAAACAAAGGAAACTATGGCGAATTTTCTGTAAAATAGGCAGAATTTAGGCGAACTTCTGGAGAGCATATCTCCCTCCACATAGGTCCCATAAGGACATAACATACGCCGTTTTGAAGTTTGAGATGTCCTCTATCTTGTGGTAAAATTTGGTGGAATTCTGGGTTGGAATTCGGCCTGTAGAAGGCAGGGAACACAGACTGTCCAATTGCTTACTGCACTTGAGGCAGTTCTGGACCAGTTTTAGGAAATTTATTCCCGCTTCGTTTCTTGGTAAACTTAAGTGTATGATATATCAAATTGAATATTGAGGTGTATAGTTTCTTGTATAAAACTTTGAGAGCAATTGGTTGAGTATATTTTCTGCAGTAATTTATTTAGTGAGGGATGTTTGGAGCTGTTTTGGGGTTGGCTGGCAGCTTGGCTTGTCCAACTTCAAACGGCGATATCCGGAGCAAACGAGATCGAAATTACTCGTGTGATAGCTTCCTAGAAATTTATTTAAGTGTAGAATAACATATCAAAAGATGAGAGGTTTGAGACGTGCGGATTCTCTGCAGAAATTCAGTGACCGAACCATGTTCGGAAGGGTAGAAAATGTAAAAATGAGAATTATGCTAAGTGGGTTTATGGGAACCCCTTAGTGACTTATGGTAAATAAAATAAGTAATAAAAGTAGTCTAATAAGTATTCCGCAAAGAGTTTACAGTTACGGTCACAACTTTTAATTATTACGCTTATTATTGTTATAAATGCTCGAGTAATAAACGGAAAAAGTTTACTCGCATTTTTATAAATGAATTACTGTGATTGTAACTGCGCTTAATATCATAATTAATGTTAACAATACCGGTGTACAATGGGCTGTTACAATTGCGGTGTGATCCTTTTTTTCAAGATCATGATCTCTCAGCATCTGTCATCATCTTTATCTCGTATTTGTCTCAGATTGGGGATTGATCCTTTTGCTAGGGTCACATCTCTCCAATTCTGTTTTCATTTTTATTTTGGATTGGGGTGTGATCCTTTTTTCAGGATCATGATCTCTCCAAATTCATCTTCATCTTTATCTCAGATTGGGGTGTGATCCTTTTGCCAGGATCGCGATCTCTCAACATCTGTCATCATCTTTATCTCGTATTTGTCTTAGATTGGGGTGTGATCCTTTTGCTAGGATCACATCTCTCCAAATTTGTTTTCATTTTTATCTCAGATTGAGGTGTGATCCTTTTGCTAGGATCACATCTCTCCAAATCTGTTTTCATTTTTATCTCAG